CATCGCAAATTTTGCATAAAAGAAAAGAACAATTTCCGTTTAACGATTATTCTTTAAAAATGACCTGACTGCTCAACATAGGCGGATCCAGAACGCATTCCTTGAGGGTGAGGAAGGTAGGGCGACGATAGTATGGGGGAGAGTGAGGCTACCGGGGGAAGGAGGAAGCAGAGGACGACGGGGGATGAGCGCCCTCTCACTTTTGAACTATGCAAAATCTAGGAATAGAGTTGTCACACTACTACGTAGAGTTTAGTTTCATTTATGTACACGTCCGGGCTTCTGCGGGACTGGTGCCTGTGCTGTTAGATGGAGAAGGGGCGTAACAACTCTCACCTCCCCCTCCCCTCTCCCACCCCTTGAATCCGTCTATGCTATTCAGTGAGCATTTCCGTCAAAACTTTGAAGTGCCCGTTCCGTCAAAACCTTGAAGTACCCGTACATGAGAAGCACGTATACCTGCAAGCTGAATTTGAAGTATTTGGACAGGAAATATTTTCCTAAAATTTTGACTTTCCAGCTTTTGCGGTTCCCGAATTAGCAGTTTTCCTGCCAAAACCTTCAGGTGCTCGTACGTGAGTCCACGCGTATCTGAGGGCTGAATTTGAAATCTCCAAATTTATGTAGATAGGGGACATCCCCTTAAAATTTCAGTCTTCCAACTTTTTTGATTACCGAGTTAGCAATTTTCCCACCAAAACTTCCACATGCTCGTTTTGTGAACTACGGTCACCTTCGGGCTGAATATGAAATCTTTAGCTCACATCCCTGCAAAGTTCCAGCTCTCTATCTTGTCTGGTTTTCGAGGTCGCTTTCCGCCAAAAAATTTGCATATTTTTTATGGCGCCCGTACGCGGCGCCCAAACGTACGCGGATGATGGTATAACGATGGGAGGATCGCACAGGTGGTGAGCATATACTCCCGAAGTTTCAGCTTTCTAGCATTTCTGGTCCTCGAGCTGAAAGTGGGTGAAAAAAAGTGCGAACACACAGACATATAAACAGAATCTTGCCAATTTGCGTTTTTGCAATTTGCATATATGCACATAAAAAACGAATCAAGAACACATAAAAAACGAATCAAAGCAATAGGCGTCTAAATACAAAAATAATGGAGCTGCTTAACAAGGCTAAAATTCCAAATCCGTTGATCCTGAACGAGAAAATTAGAGCCTAGAAGAAGTCGAAATTGAGCTATTAGCATTTTCTTATACACCTAACAGATGACCAAAACGAACCCCCAGGCAGCTCTAGTAACAAACAGACAAAGCAGGAATGTTATTTAGACATTCGTGATTATCAACACTTTGTACGTGAGATTCAAACAAAAAAATCTGGGATCCAGTCGTTCAGCTAAATTTCCTGGACATCTGATACATGGCACAGCTGCGGCAACAGAAATTTCCGTACCGTGGATTGGCACACAGTCCAGCTCTGATGACTAGCTTGCATGCCATCTCGTTACCTCTGTCCACACAGGTGCCCACCATTTCTGCTTCTGCAACAGTCAGTTATAAAAATTAGTAAAGCTGAATTTAACTCAACGTTTCTGGATATTCATTTAGTTCGCACTCCTTACTTCTATCCAAATAAATTTCCTGAAAGTGAATTCCTTGATCAAACTCTGGTAGCCTCTGCATCATATTGATAATTCCCGGCAGAGGTTCTGGAAAGAGTACTGTTCTTTAAAGCGCACTTTTCCACAGTAATCCCATATTTTAGCGAGCTCGACAAAGAATTATTCATTGAGGAAACGTTTCATTTTGCTTGAAGAAAAAAATGGACCTTTTATTCTTAAATTGATCGGATTCGACAGGACAGCAGCCTTTCCAACAGAACATAAATATTCTCCGATGTCTGATTCGTGTGTACTAGTGATAACAATTTCGGTGTGATCACGAGACTGCTGAAATGAACAAAGTTTTTACTGGATACCAATTAAACGAGTATTATAACTTATGAGAATTATGAATGGGTGCAATGGTTTTCAGTAAACTGAGATATCTGCAATGATTTTCAGGAAAGATGCAGGAAAATGATTCTTTTGATCAATTTTAGCTGCCCCTACAAACACGCCTATACCAGAACCAAATAAACCTGCTCAGGCACCATTATGATTAACCGGAAACTGTTTCTGGCTGTCAGTAAGTAGTTTTCAGGAATTTGAAACCGATGCAGTCAACCCCGAATTTCCGGTTGCTGGAGTTGATAAACTTGGTAACAATCACTGCACCGAGTATATTCGTACCGATGCTGTTCGGCCTGCAGCTCAGATGTGTGGAAGCGGTACTGAAGCAATCGTAAAAAAATCCGAAAAAATTACGACTATTCTGTTGTTTCCCTTCAAAAATTCCATCCGCACACCATTTTTGTGCCAGCGTATTGGCTGCTGTTGTCGTTTTCCTTTACAGCTCATTCTTACTGTTGATCCGACAGGCGCCGGATTATAACCAATGAGAAGCAGATTTGGACGAACATCCTCAGCAAACTTCCTTGATTCGCGCGTCGAACTGAATTAATGCAGGTAAAATGCCCTTTTTCTATGTTAAGCTTGCGTTTTAAAAGACATTCACTCCTATGTTTATATTTTTTAGATAGAGATATTTGTTTAAAAAAAACATTAAAAATAATCAGATGGAAAGGAATGTTTCGATCTATTAGATCGTGTATATTCCTACTCAGCACTACAACTGGACTTCGCCATTACGTCGGTTATGATCTCGACAAATTAAAAAAATGTGCAAGCTGCTCCAGAATTGTCAAAACGCTGGCAGTGACAGAAGACGAACACCATCAAAGCATCAACCAGTCAGACTATTTAATTAAGCGCTCTTGCTGGAAGCAGGAGTAGGCCGATATTCTCTGCAGGAGATGAAGCTGCAGTAGGAGCGAGGAGCTGGCAGCCTACAAATTTTAGTCTATAAAACAGACGAAAGAAGCCAACAGAGAAAGTTGGATTTGTAAACGTTTCCGAATTTCGGGGATATCTCAAAGCCACCATATCAAGAAGGGCCCAACGGCAATAGTTCAGGTGATTTTGCTAAATTTGAGACATTAAAACAAATTAGAAAAAAATTAGTACCCTTGTTCTTCTTCTCTATCCTGCCACCAATTCCTGCATCCAGAACAGCATTTGGTCACCTATCACCCACCATAAATTAGGAAATAAATAAACAAGTTCAGGAAAGTGAATAAACAAGTTCAGGCAAGCAGGAAAACAGTCGAGTAAATTGGCAAACAACCGAGCACAGCATTGAAAATGATAGACTCGAAAAATAAGACATAGATTACCAGAAACTCATGCATTCATCTTCGCTGAAAAAACGATTTTCGTTGCCTCCACAGCCACCATACACGAACAACCTGCAGTACTGCGACGACCTGTCAAAGTACCACAGTTGCTGTGTGTCGCCACATGGCCCTGTTTCAAACGGTAACAAACAGCTTTCTAAAAAGTGCAAAAGCAAAACTTAAGCTAATTATTTCGCCAAAACACTCGTTAAATGGTGAAAATGCAACAGCTACTTTTTCGAAAGCAGCAAAAATCACCCTTCATCCGCTCAGTTACTGCACTGGTTTCGTTACTCATGAGACACCTCCGCTCGCAGAGTATTTTACTGTTGAAACGATTTTCATTACCGCGACATCCACCATACGTGAACTGCATACACTGCCTACTGTGTGCATCAAAGTACCACTGTGTCACCGGATCCGTGCATGGTCCGCTGTCCCGTTCCAACTCGCAGATATTTTGCGCTAAAAACACGAAATCAGCGCAATCTGTTATAGTTACAGTATGCAGACAAGCTTCAAACGGTGCCATTTGCGAGCGACTCCGAAACCACAACATTTTTTACCTTCACTGTCCGTGTAAAAGCGTATCTCCGAAGTGCACAGATGCTCGCATTCGGCTTTCGACGAAAAACGATTACCATTACCACCACAACCAGTATACAAGAACACATGGCACTCTCCAGCGTCCATATTATAGTACCACTTAGTATGTCCTAATTCACAATTGCCACGGTTCATTTCCATCACACATACATCTGCAGCATGTACTATTTTGAAAGGCAAAGCAATAATCCAAGGTCATGCGAAAATAACACATCTCACAAGTAGATGTGGTGTGCGGTGGGAGAATTTAATATTGATTTCTGGGAACATTATAGTGAGTTTTACTCTCAAAAAAAAAAATTGTGGGAGAAAGTTCCACAGAATCACACAAAAAATATGAGAAAGTTTTCTACATATATACATATGAAATTTGGTACTGCTTCAGAATTATAAATCAAGGTTAGAACGCACCAGGCAAGCCGGTGCGATCATGCGTTTTTGCGCCAAACTTGAAGTAAATAGATTAACTGCATGAATGGCTGTTTCTTCACACCTATCTTGTGCGCTTAATACCGTAAATCACCTTGAATCTTGCATAAAAGGAAATAAACAATCTCCGTTTAGCGGTCTTTTTTTGAAAATGATCCAGCTGTTCAAGGAGTAATTTCCGCCAAAAATTTAGGTGCGTGTACATGAGAACTAGGCGTATGTGGTGGTTGAATTTGGAACCTTTAATTTGTATTTGGGAAGGGAATATTCTCCTAAAACCGCAGCTTTCCAGCTTTTCTGGTTCCTGAGTTAGCAGTTTCCCCGCCAAAACTTTCACTCTCTCTTACTTGGGGCCCAGACTTGCGTGAGGGCTGGTACCGCAGTCCTGAGGTAGCACTTGGCCGGAGAACCCACTAGCGAAGTTTTGGCGCCAGAGTTTGCTTGATTGTCGAGTTGAATTACTCGGACAGACGAACACACATACACACAGACAGGGTCGTTGCAATATGTGTTTTTGCAATTTGCATGTAGACAAAAACACGTAATGACAGATATCATGAAACCCATATTCTGAAACATCTTACCACTATTTCTATATTCTCCGCAGGCCCGTAAGCATGCTTCTTCGGAAGTGAAGTAATTAGCATTGTGCCCACATCCAGTGTACAGAAAGGTTTCACAATGATCCGTTTCCGAATTAAATCGCCAGCGTAAAATCTGACCAAAACACGGTCCAGCATCTTCCGGTAATAAACAAAGCTCTACAATTTCAGTTCTAGCTGCGAAAGGGGCTTGTTGATGGAAAGGTGCAAAATTTGGGATTATGTTTCAGGAATATAAATTGCAACGCACCATATGTCTTAATAATTGCGCCAAATTTCGCTTGTGATTATGCACTTCCAACTGCACTCACAACATGAAATATTTACTAAGAACCAACGTGCTGTGAATAGAATGAGAGAAAAACCTTGGACTAGGATAATGCCGGAAACTGATCGTAACAATGTGCAGTATTTTCCAGTAGCTTGAGGCTGCTAATATGTGGCTATAACTAAGAAACGAAGTGAAGAACCTATCACTAGCCGGGACGGCGCAACTTCTTGGCGCAAAAAACAGCTTTCTGCGGCCAAATTTTGATTACTACTTAACGTATGCTGTGAGGACGTCTTGTAATACCAGG